ATATATATAATATGTAATGATTAAAATATGAATAAGATCTTAATAAGTTTCTTTTAGTTGATTGATTTAGTATACTTAATATTGACATAGTATTATAAAGAATGTTATATTCTTAATATAACAAATTTTATTTTATTTTATTTATTTAAATTCTATAAATAATTAATAATATTGAAGACGGATTTTAGCAATTGTAAGTTTATATATTAAAGCTAAATAGATTGATGGAGGCATACCTGTTCCAAAGATAACTGTCAGCATCATAAATACGAACTTGAATAAATCTACACAGCTTTGGTAATTCAGAGGAAAAAAGTGGTGTGGCAAGGTGCTGCTTTCAGATCCTAAACAAATCATATTGCGGTTAATATGCTGTATAAAATAAAGTTTTTCTTTTGGGTCCAAATATTGTGCGTGGAAAGCGCAAGTATAAGAATTTTAGTAACAATTTAGTCCTCACCTGCAGATTTTGTTTCCGCTCCATCATCTGTAGCAATATTTTTCAATGCTTCGAGGTCTCTTTTTGGTCCAATTTGATCATTATGCGGTAACTTTTTATGAAATTGTCTCAACGGCTCGGTCACTGGATACATGGAAAACGAATCAAATCACGATTACAGTACGAAGTTGAGGTTATTAAATGATGTTCATAAGTTGAAGTTTTGAGTAAAAATTTTGTCTAAAATTAGCATATATGTTGCAAAAATACTTCTAAAAACAGGGATTGATTTATACGTTTTCTTGGAGGAGAGAGTGTTGTAAAAGGTTGATAGAACGATGAACAAAATTTTTCGAGGAGTATAGAGTCACTGTCTTCAACTTATTCACGGTGTGTTGCGCAAGTTCTCCAGATACAACAGTAACTTCTCAGAATTTCTGAGGATCTCAAAACTAACAAGGATCTCTCAAAAAAGTATAAAAGTAACCCAGAATAATTTTAGAAGAAAAAAAAAACTAAAGAATAAAACTCAAAAAGATGAAAAAGACTGAATTTGGTGTCTTTGGAGGAAGAGTCTCTTTTTATAGATATAGATGAGAATAAAATCATTAAAAAATAAAATTCAATAAATTTTCTTTTGAACGCTGCAGCACTTTGAACGTTGATCAAAATTCAAATTTTGCAATATTATAATATTAATATAATATAAGAGAGAGTATATATCTTTTACATACCCACTAAGGCGAATTTTTTTGCCATGCTCAAAAGCCCCACACATATCTCGTAATTTTCCGGATAACTGATTTTTTCTGTGTCGGTTGTTGGACGTTGCTCCTGACTATTGGGTGCTACTTCGAGCTTCTTCACCATTATAGCTTCCAAATAAATTACACAGACATTATCAATAATAATAATAATAATAATTCGTTATAAAGTAAAATTTGGAATTAGTATCTTACCATTATAAACAATTCGTTCAAACCGTCCCAAGTGGCCACCACTCCTGAAAACAGAAGGCTTATTTGCCAGGAGATGAAGAGGAGTTAACCCACTCTCGTTCACTGAATTCACAAGATCTCCGTATAAATGAATTATTTGGAATGCCAAATCTGTAAATAAATTAATCATCAGCTAAAATTAATTATTAGATGGGAAATTTCAATTTATTAGATTGAAAGAAAGTTTAGAAGGACTCACCAAAATAATCTCCGGCAATGGCCGAATGAAGAATTGTGTCACCATCAGTTCTTCTACAGTTGCTGTAGTGGTCAAGAGGCTCTGGGTGGTTGTTGTTAGAGAAATAGTGAAGGAAAAGGAAAACTTCTTTTCTGCCATGGAGAGCAGCCAGAAAGAGAGGGGTCTCGCCATCAACGTTGCGCATACTCAGCAACGAAGCCTCAGCGGAAGCAATGTACTCGCACATCTCCACGCTCCCCATGGAAGCCGCGAAATGCAAGGCCGTGTTTTTTCTTTTGTTCTGAATTCCCAGTGCCTCTTTACGCTTGCCCTCTTCCCTCTCGGAGCAAATAAGCTTCACCAGTTTTCCCGCGACGGCGTATTGGCCGTCGCTGACGGCGACATGCAAAGCAGTGTCACCTGTCTTAGTTATTTTGGCCGTGTGAGCCTTCTTTTCCTTCTCGAACGTTGTCACCACTTCTTCCCACTCACCTTTCATGCAAAGTTTGAACAAAAGCTTGCTTGTTTTTTGTGTGTGCTCACTCGTTCTATCATCTTCCCTTTCCGCCATCAGCACATCACCTATTATTACTTCTCTCTTCTCATATCCAGGCCTCTTCTTCTATTTACCTTAGCCACAACTACACATATGTCTCTGGAATGTAGGTGGCTGCTACTTTTTTTGGCTTTCATATCAAGTTATTCCAACACTAAGTTACGGCACGATAAATATTTTTTTTGTGGAATTTCCCACTGCGCAAATGTGAACGAAACTTTCCTTCATTTTCTCCCACTTTTAAGCGACAGAATATGGCCAGTTATAATAATCACTTTGGACTACAATTTTTTTTGGAAGAGTGGGAGAGAGAGAGAGAGAGGTGAATTAATTTTCTTGCATTTTTAGTTTTTATTCAAATTTTAGTGCAAATTAAATAATGAAAAAAATGATAATTGTAATAATCTTTAGAAGTATAGTATGAGTTGGTTGTGCATTTTTTTAAAAGAAAATGATAAACTCCGTATGATTTTGTTTTGGAATTTTGATTGAACTTACTTTAGAAGCAGTAATTGGATGGTTGTGATGAGTATCGGTGCTGTGTTTCCTCTCCAAGCAAAGTGATGAATTTACTTTGAGGAACGTGTTACACGGACACTCACTTTTATCTTTCTTTACCTTCCTGTGAGTTTGGAGAATTGTTCCTTAGTTGCGCTGGTGATATTTGTGGCTTCTGTGGAAGGAAAAGGACAAAGGAAGGGTAATTCCGAAAATAAAATGAAAAAATTGCACTTATTAATTTCAACTGCCAAATGAACTTTTAATATTCTTAAGGTTTCAATCTATTTTTTCCTCACATATAATGTTAGTGTCTATAAAAATTTAATTCCATTATTTAATTTTGATCCACTGCTCATTTGTTATTTCAATTTCTAATTACTTATTGGCGTAAAATATCAACAGTAATGTTTAATTATAAACTTTAACATTGTTATCATTAAAATTATTTTGAAATCAAATGATGTATTATTGAGAACTAAACTTAATTAACTTTAGAAAGTTAAAGGATCAAATATACTACTAAATTTTCACAAGGATCAAAATTGCATACTAATTGTTACTACAGACTTGCAGACAACCATTCGGTTTTGGTATATCAGCTCCTCAGCCGAACGGTCTCGGCAAGCCTCTTGTCGTTCGGTCTCGACAGCTGTCGAGCAGATTTAATGCACAAATAAATGTGGTAACGGCTACCGTTAGACAATTAATGTTTGCATTAATGACCATTAAGAAGTAAATTAATTGGTCAGATTCCTTTAAACTTTATAAATAAGAGTTTAGGCTTGAGGTACAGGGACATTCAACTCATACTCCACTACGCCCTATTTACGTCCGATGAGGACTTTAATATTAAATTGTAATTTTATAAAACGACCTCTAACTTGAGCGTTGGAGTTCCTTTTGCAGGTACACCCCCTCTTTTATAAAGAGGGTGACCGAGCGGCCAACATTGAAGGTGAACGATCGGTCCAAACTAAGAGTAAACGAGCAGAGCGCACAAGCAGAGGGTTAGTGTCTCGGTCTCACAATCCCCACCGAAATATTTTGGCGCCCACCGTGGGGCCGAGAGCAAGCTGAAGACACCCAATGGTGACCACAAGAAATATGGAAGAACAAAGTACCAGAGATTTAATCAGAGAATTGCAAGCCCAGATTGGGGCACAGGCGCAGACCATACAAGCGTAGGCGCACGCACAGCAAGAGATGCAGCAGAGGCATGCGGAGGAGATGAGGGCGCTAAGGGCCGAACGGGGCCCTCCCGAGCGGTCTGCCTCAAATCGAGAGAATGCTAATGAGGCAAGCCATAATCGCGCCAACCCGAACGGCCGGGCTAGAAGGGAACCAGCACCTCTGCAGGTCGTTCGGCCTACCAGTTTATTTCCCTTCACGGCGACTATCATGCAAACCCCAATGCCAGAGAGAACTCCCCCCATATTGGACAAGTATGATGGTTCGGTTGATCTAGATAATCACCTAAGGACGTTCAGTAATGCAATGACGTTCTATACGAACAGCGACCCGGACATGTGCAGAGCCTTCTCATTATCACTTAAGGAAGAGGCATTGGAATGGTATAACACTCTTCCTCCCAACATAGTGGATTGCTTCGCTACTGTGGAAAACCTCTTTAGAAGGCAATACGCATCCAATCAGAAACAGGAGATAACACCGGCGGAGTTGGTAAATACTAAGCAGGAGAAAGGAGAAACTTTGAGGACTTTTATGAAAAGGTATACTGAAACCACGAGACGGGTTAAAGAGATCGATCAATCTTTTATTATCAACAATTTGCCTTCATGCACGAGACCAGGATATTTTGCGGAAAAATTGTATGCACGACCACCAAAAAATATGGAGGAGCTCCAAGAGAGAGCAATTGAGTTCATCCGTATGGAGGAAATGCGATTATCACAAAGGAAACGGCAGCAAGAGGCTGATATAGGCGAAAGTAGAAAGGACGGCAAACGACCGTTCGATGGTAACGATAAGAGTAGGGAGCTTCCCTGAACATTCAAGTTTCACCATTATACAGCCCTCAATGCACCTAGGGCAAAAGTTCTCGAAGAAGCCCTTAGCGTAGAGCTTCTCACACCTCGAAGGAAACCATCTCCAAGAAACGCATATGAGAGGAAGAGTTGTCGGTACCATAAACATCATGGACATACTACAGAAGACTACATCACATTAAAAAATGAAATAGAAAATCTTATTCGGGCATGACACCTCCGTAGGTATAAGCAAGATGTCGCCTCCCCAGGAAAGGATATTCGCAAAGAAGCCCCGAGCGGGCGAATAGGAAAGACGAGCGAAGATGGGACTATAGTCGCAGTCCCAATCGTCATTGGGAACGATTGGTTTGTGGATTTATTAACTGAGGATAAAGATCCAAAACTCTATTAATGTCATGTTTAAATTCAGTTTCATTTGATTTAGCCTTTTGTTATTGTCTTACGCTTTCATTATGGAATAAATAAGGCCAAGTAATTGATGCCCAGTCAATCGTTCCCAACGTTGCTAAAGAACTTCATATCCAACGAAAAAGTCTCTCAAGAAGAGTCTGAAGAAAAAGACCGAGCAGTAAATCCCGCTCGACCGAGAGGTAAAACCCTTTCGTCAAGACCAAGAGGTAAAGCCCTCTTGGCCGAGAGGTAAAGTCCTCGCGTCCAGACTGAAGAAAAAGACCGAGCGGTAAATCCCGCTCGGCCGAGAGGTAAAACCCTTTCGTCAAGACCAAGAGGTAAAGCCCTCTTGGCCGAGAGGTAAAGTCCTCGCGTCCAGACTGAAGAAAAAGACCGAGCGGTAAATCCCGCTCGGCCGAGAGGTAAAACCCTCTCGTCAAGATCAAGAGGTAAAGCCCTCTTGGCCGAGAGGTAAAGTCCTCTCGTCTAGACTGAAGAAAAAGACCGAGCTGTAAATCCTGCTCGGCCGAGAGGTAAAACCCTCTCGTCAAGACCAAGAGGTAAAGCCCTCTTGGCCGAGAGGTAAAGTCCTCTCGTCCAGACTGAAGAAAAAGACCGAGCGGTAAATCCCGCTCGGCCAAGAGGTAAAACCCTCTCGTCAAGAAAAAGAAGTAAAGCCCTCTTGGTCGAGAGGTAAAGTCCTCTCGTCCAAACTGAAGAAAAAGATCGAGCGGTAAATCCCGCTCGGCCGAGAGGTAAAACTCTCTCGTCAAAGATGAAGTCAGATTGAGCGGAAAATCCCTCTCAATCGAACGATTTTCATTCTCATCAACCGGGATGCTCTGATAACAAGGATTTCAACTGTGCAGCCATATTCAATACATGAAACCTTCGGCCTAAAAAGGATATAACGACTTGAAGTACACGGAGAACAAGTTGCTCAATACAACGAGAACAACCTCCCTGAAACTCATAAGTCCTATAGTTAACCGTTCGGCTAAAGCCGAATGATTACTCGGACTTGGGGGGCTTGTGTTATTACGGACTTGCAGGCAACCGTTCAGTTTTGGTCTATCAGCTCCTCAGCCGGACGATCTCGGTAAGCCTCTTGTCGTTCGGTCTCGACAGCTGTCGAACAGATTTAATGCACAAATAAATGTGGTAATGGCTACCGTTAGACAATTAAGGTTTGCATTAATGACCATTAAGAGGTAAATGAATTGGTTAGATTTCTTTAAACTCTATAAATAAGAGTTTAGGCTTGTGTTACATGGACATTCAACTCATACTCCACTACGCCCTATTTACGTACGATGAGGACTTTAATATTAAATTGTAATAAGCATTTTATAAAACGACCTCTAACTTGAGTGTTGAAGTTCCTTTTGCAGGTACCTCTCCTCTTTTATAAAGAGAGTGACCGAGCGACCAACATTGAAGGTGAACAATCGATCCAAACTGAAAGTAAACGAGCGAAGCGCACTAACAGAGGGTTAGTGTCTCGGTCTCACAATCCCCACCGAAACACTAATAATACTAGAGAGAAATATAAATAAATTGAAATTTATATTACGGTTTTATAGTGTTAACAATTTATATTTTTTCAATATAAAAATAACTGTAAATGGTGAGAATTATTAGAAGCAAACAAGTTAAAGTTAAAGTTGAAAGAACAAGTGGTGAGAATTGAAAAACTCAGCGTAGAAAAGAAAAAAAAAAGAGTACGAAACAGATATAGAAAATATAAAATTGTGAAAAAAATATAAAAGCAAACATACAGAGGGTTAGGCTACCCCACATATGTGAGACACTAATGCTGGAGTTCGAATAGAGGTTAAAAATCGATCGTTTGAAAAATATTAAGTTAATTAATTGTTTATTATTATTATTTATTAATTAAAAATAAAAAATTAAACTTAAAAAAAACCTTAATCGTAATTAGAAATACAACTGAGTTCAAATTAAATATGTTAAGCGTATTTCCAAACGGTTAACATATATTTTTTAAATTTTCTTTTCTAATTTTATAATATCATTTTTTTAATAATTAATATTTTATAAATTAAAACATTTGTATATATTTAATTTTATAAAAAATATTAAATTAATTAATTGTTTATTATTATTATTATTAATTAAAAACTAAAAAATAAACTTAAAAATAATAAAAAACCTTAACAATAATTTGAAAATACGGTTAATATAGAATAATTAAAATTTGTTTGTTTTTAATTTTATAATATATTTTTTTAATAAGTAATATTTTATAAATTAAAATATTAATATATATTTAATTTTATAAAGAATATTAAATTAATTAATTATTTATTATTATTATTAATTAAAAACAAAAAGTAAACTCTTAAAAGAAACCTAACACAATTAGAAATAAAGTTAACATATAATAATTCAAATTAAATATGTTAACTGTATTTTCAAATACGTCCCAAATTATTTTGTTTTTTATATAATATTATTTATTTTTTTAGTAATTTATATTTTGTAAATTAAAATATTATTAGTATATATTTAATTATATAAAAAAATGTTAAATTTATGAATTGTTTATTATTATTGTTATTATTAATTAAAAACAAAAAATTAAACTAAAATAAATTTAATCGGCGTTGGAATGTTAAATTTCTTAACCAATTTTTGAAAGTTGATTAAGTAAATTTGTTAATCGATTTTGAACGTCGGTAAGAGTACTTTTGGTATTTTGGAGGTGTAGAAGAAAATTGGGAGGTACAAGGAAAAATTAGTAAAAAAATGGTTTTTTAACTTGCACCATACATTTTGGTTTTGTAAAAATCGAAGCATATAAATATGCGGTGGCATTTTCATAGTTACAGTGAACTTATAGGCTTCGGGATCGAGGCAATAGGACCGTTCGACTTTGGTTTTACTATCAACCGAGGCAGTAACCGAACGTTCCAAAGCATTTTGATATATGCCTTTGTTGTCTGGGGACAGAGGCAATAGGACTGTTCGGTTTCAGTTTTGCTATGAACCGAGGCAGTAACTGAACGTTCCAAGTTTATTTTGTCCACTAATATGTCTCGGTTGTCTAGGGATAGGGGCAATAGGACCGTTCGGCTTCGGTTCTGCTATGAACCGAGGCAGTATGTTCTGCCAGATACTCTAGAACCGAACGTTCCAAGTTCATTTTGTCCACTAATACTGCCTCGATTGTCTAGGGACAGAGGCAATAGGACCGTTCGAATTCGGTTTAGGCACGAACCAAACGTTTGAAGGCATTAATATGCCTTGGTTTAGGCGTGAACCGAGGCCTATAGTACCGTTCGGCCTCGGTCTTTTACTTAACCGAGGTAATAGCCCCTGCGTAAGTTCAAATTCAGAACACTAAACGAGAATGCATTTTCTCGGGCAGTGTTCTTCCTCTTCCCTTTCGCGCCTCCAAAGAAGTTCTTCTCTCCAACCTATGGTTCTTGTTCCTCTTGTTATCTCCGTTCTAATTCGCGGCAAATGAGGTTTGATTCTATTTCCAATCTCTTCTCTCTGTCATTTATCTTCTTCCCCCTTTCTCACTGGTTCTAGGTTGGTATTGCAGAGAGGAGAAACACCAATTTTTTTTCCTATTGCTGGTTTCTCTCAATAAACCATATTCGGAGGTTCTATTCTCAATCTCTTCTCTCTGCCATTTATCTCGAGCGGTTCTATTCCTAATCTCTTCTCTGGCATTTTTAAGAATTCTCTCAATAACTTGCTTCAAGCTTCTTTTTTCTTCCTTTCACGTAGACAACCAACCTCGGAGAGGTGACTATGGTGAGGCGAGGACACGACAAGGGCACTGCAATGGTGAGGCGAGGGCAAGACAAGGGCACTGCGATGGCAGCGAAAGAACAACGATGACGCAACTAGGGCTCGGTGAGGGTAAGAACCGTTCGGCGAGGACGATGACCGTTCAGTTCAGTACGAACCAAAGCCTAAAGTCTAAAAAAAAAAGCATCCTACTGTTTCAGTTACCTAAGAACCGAGGCAAAATCCGACCGCTTTTGGCTTCGGTTCTTAACTAAGGCAAAAAACCTACCTTTTTTATAGGTAAAAATAACCGTTATCGTTTTTCTTTACTATGAAACTACTTTGGAGTTTAATCATGTTCCAAAATCAACACTCAAATTTTACTTAAAAGCTGACTTTCCACTGCCACCGTACAGGAACCACAACACAACAAGAGTGAAAGAGTGTACGAAAATGAGGGGTGCAGTGATACATAGGAGCATTAACGATGTTGGTGAAAGTGAAAGCTGCTGAACAAATCCAACCGCCGTAATTTTATTAAATTCAAAAGTTAAATGGTAATTTTGGAGGTGGAGGAAGAAATAAACGGGGTGCAAGGAGAAAAACTCAATATTATATGTTAAGACATTTTTGAATAACATTTCAACACTCCTTAGGCATTGATCCATTGATCCCCGGCATTACATCTTTAGCAGAATAAATAGCGAAAAATCTCAATTAAATTGGATAAGAAACAGTTAACATTATGTAAACAAACACTGAAATATCCATTTTTTGTGTAGTCTATAAATGGAAGATCAATCTTAAGTTGCATATATGGAAAATTAGATTACATGCAGCATTATTTTAGCTCTGCAATAATACTGGGCGTACAGCTAATGTAGAGTGGTTTTGTATCCACGCTGTGGTACTTTCTTAAAAGTAGCCAATATGAGATCGATGTAGAGTGGAAACTGGGCCAAGGCAAAAAGTGTCACTGGCAGGCACGTCACGGCATAGACAGGGAATGCAACTGATTTGAGTTTGTCCTTTAGGATAAAGAAGTGACCAGCACAGAAACAGACCATCATAGACGTAATGGACATGAACAACGACGTCAAACCCACGATAAGCTTCCTGGGAAGATTTTTACCGAAATCACGCTCTTGATACCGAGATGTGAGTATAGAGAGGAACATCACCAGTGAGGTAACAGAACAGCAAAGAGCAATGAGAGATGCGATGGCAAAGGCTTTAAATTCTGGCCTGTTTTCAAGAGTTGGGGAGCCGGTGTCGTCTTTGAAGTCACCGGGGACAGTGGTGGATGTGGAAAATGCCACTGTAGCTATCAGCGCTGCTACCAAGGAACAAGATTCAGAGGTTTTTTTCAGCCATTCTCCACCACTCTTGAGAAGCTCCCTGTGAGTTTCGCTGAAGATATCTCTTGGTGTCTTGTTGTTATCGTTGTACCGACTAAAGAAATGAGGTCGCATCGATTCCTTAACAAACTGCATCACATCATGAGAGGGAGAGGAAGTAGTTTGAGTCACCAGAAAATGTAAATCATTTTACAGAATAATTAATTATATGTAAACTTACCAGGTACCACTTGATTTCCCAATGCATTTGCAGCGCTTCGCCAGGAATGAGCCAGGGTTTATACTCTCCAAGCTTGGCTGCCAAGTGCAAAGCACTGTTTCCTTCGTTATCCACTTTATCGAATATACTCTCCTTCAGACTTTTCTTCTTGAGCAATAAGTCATATAAGTAGGTTTGCCTGTTCTCCACTGCCAATAACACTATATTTTTCTTATTCGAATCCATATCATGAACAGCTACAGGAAACGACTCCATGATTTTCTCTACCATTTCTCTCACTCCGTTCTTTGCAGCTATTAATATTGGTGTCTCACACGTCTTCTTTTTTTTGACGTTAACCTTCTCCTCCCCTGCACATAAAAGTAAACCTATAATAATAATATTATAATAGTAACCAACAATAATCTAAATATCATGATTAAATATCCCTTTCTTAGCCTATTTGATTCTGCATTGGAAGAGGCTATACATATGGGTGAATCATGTGAAAAATTGAAAAAGTAAATTCATTCCTGATGCTGAACCAAACACAGCATAATGTTATACCATTGTTTTGTTGTTTGGGTTCTCCTTTGGTGGTGAGATGTTGTTCCACTTCTGTGGTACCCGCCAAAGTAACATTACCCTCTTCATCAAAAGTATAAGGGTCTGTGCGTTGATCTTTATTCTGCAATATATTCACGGGTACGCTGCCATCGTCATCGTACTCATACATGGAAGCTCGCTTCAGAAGTTCATCCAATATTTGAACTGACCACTCGTGCTTTTCCTTCCTCCGACGTATCTTATTTATGTTCGCTGACCCTTTTGTACCAGAAACATTGTCACGTTATTAAAGGAAAAAAGGTGCTATATTCATGATTTGCAAAATGAAATGTTCTCAGTGATTTCTTTTATACTTTTGAGTTATCAAATATATTTTTATAAAATATCTAAAGATTAATCTATTAAATAAGGACTCATTTATAAATGTTACCAATTTTACGAGGGCAAAAATCTATAAATAGTCAAGTTGCAATATATATCTTGCATTTGGTAACCTTATACTTGAAAATCAGTGTCTGATCGATGTCTGGGTAGCATTTTTTAATAAAAAAAATGCTCTTAATGTTTCTTTTAATTCAATAATTATAATTGGTATGTGGTTTTTATTTGTAATAATTTATACTTAAATATACTTTTTTTTAATTGTTATAATTATTATTTTTTCATCTAATTTATCTCTTCAACACATTATAAACACAAACCAAGGCCGTTATCACTCAACACAATACACACAAATCAGGGAGAAAAAATGGCAACAAGTGGTTATAAGCGGCAACACTCCTGACAGGATGGAGGGGTGGTGACGAGAGGAAGCTTGTCCTAGTGGTGTTTGTCCATAGAAGAGAGGGATGGGGAAGAAAACCCGATGGTGGAATGAGGGATTTTTGGACGGTGGAACCCCCGATGGCACCTACGGTGAGAATTGCAGTGGCACCCACTACGATTAAGACTCCGGCAGCTCTGTCGCGGACTGGTTTTTGGGTTCAGGTGGCTGATTTCGCTCGAACGGCTACCTAGGAATTGTTGCGGTGGTCATTCGGAGGGGAACGCCGTGTCGACAACGACCTTGATTAGGTGGGGGGTGGCACTCGACAGAAATGTAGACATGATGGCCAGATCGTTGATTCGGAGTATGAAACCCTTGTGCGTTCTAGAAGAAGCTGTCACAAGTGTTGGAGGAAGAAGAATAAGGGTTTCCTTAGTGGCCAATGTTTGAAGGAGAAGAATAAGGGTTTCCATTTGGACTTGTACCACCCTTAGCTTTCCGTAGCAATGGCGGATCCAACGGTTCTAATTTTTTCAAATAAACTCGGTAATTAATTCTGAAAATGATTTTTTTATTCATAGAAAAATGAAATTAAATGTGGCACGTGTCACCTTACTACTAACTAATGCTAAAATGGAAGTTATTTATCACGAAAGATAAAATTTACAAAAATATACTTTCATACGTACAAAACTTATACAATTTTTTATATTTATTTAAAATTATCTTTCTTTATTTTTTAATTTTTTTTCAAAAATAAAAAAATCATTCTTTTATAACTATTTTACCTTCATAATATAATTTTATTATCATTTTAATAAAATAATATTTTTAAAAATAAATGAACCAAACATAATCAAAATTTGAAATACAACTATTTCCAATATTTTTAAATATTTTATAATTAAAAACACATTCAATCCTAAAAATGGTTTAATATTAAAAGTTGTGTTTGGAACCCTTTTAAAGCGTTTGTAATCTAAGTCCTTCGTTAATCTCCAATTATTTTGGGTAAAAATGACTATTGATATTATATATATATATATATATATATATATATAGCAATTGTAAGTTTATTAAAGCTAAATAGGTTGATGGAGGCATACCTGTTCCAAAGATAACCGACAGCATCATAAATACGAATTTGAATAAATCTACACAGCTTTGGTAATTCAGAGGAAATAAGTGGTGTGGCAAGGTGCTGCTTTCAGATCCTAAACAAATCATATTGCGGTTAATCTGCTGTATAACATAAAGCTTTTCTTTTGGGTTCAAATAATGGTCCGTGGAAAGCACAAGTATAAGAATTTTTGTAACAATTTAGTCCTCACCTGCAGATTTTGTTTCCGCTCCATCATCTGTAGCAATATTTTTCGATGCTTCGAGGTCTCTTTCTTTTCCAATTTCATCATTATCCTTTTTAAGAAATTGTCTCAACGGCTCGGTCACTGGATACATGGAAAATGAATCAAATCACGATTAAAGTAGGAAGTTGAGGTTATTAAATGATGTTCATAAGTTGAAGTTTTGAGTAAAAATTTTCTCTAAAATTAGCATATATGCTGCAAAAATACTTCTAAAAACAGGGATTGATTTTTTCGTTTTCTTGGAAGAGTATATATTTTTTACATACCCATTAAGGCGAATTTTTTTGCCATGCTCAAAAGCCCCGCACATATCTCGTAATTTTCCGGATAACTGATTTTTTCTGTGTTTGTTGGACGTCGCTCCTGACTACTGCGTGCTACTTTGAGCTTCTTCACCATTATAGCTTCCAAATAAATTACACAGACATTGTCATTAATAATAATAATAATTCGTTATAAAGTAAAATTTGGAATTAGTATCTTACCATTATAAACAATTCGTTCAAACCGTCCCAAGTGGCCACCACTCCTGAAAACAGAAGGCTTATTTGCCAGGAGATGAAGAGGAGTTAACCCACTCTGGTTCACTGAATTCACAAGATCTCCGTATAAATGAATTATTTGGAATGCCAAATCTGTGAATAAATTAATCATCAGCTAAAATTAATTATTAGATGGGAAATTTCAATTTATTAGATTGAAAGAAAGTTTAGAAGGACTCACCAAAATAATCTCCGGCAATGGCCGAATGAAGAATTGTGTCATCATTAGTTCTTGCACAGTTGCTGTAGTAGTCAAGAGGCTCTGGGTGGTTGTTGTTAGAGAAATAGTGAAGGAAAAGGAAAACTTCTTTTCTGCCATGGAGAGCAGCCAGAAAGAGAGGGGTCTCGCCATCAACGTTGCGCATACTCAGCAACGAAGCCTCAGCGGAAGCAATGTACTTGCACATCTCCACGCTCCCCATTGAAGCCGCCAAATGCAAGGCCGTGTTTTTTCTTTTGTTCTGAATTCCCAGTGCCTCTTTACGCTTGCCTTCTTCCGTCTCGGAGCAAATAAGCTTCACCAGTTTTCCCACGACGTCGTCTTGGCCGTCGGTGACGGCGACATGCAAAGCAGTGTCACCTGTCTTAGTTATTTTGGCCGTGTGAGCCTTCTTGTCCTTCTCGAACGTTCTCTCCACTTCTTCCCACTCACCTTTCATGCAAAGTTTGAACAAAAGCTTGCTTGTTTTTTGTGTGTGCTCACTCGCTCCACCATCTTCCCTTTCCACCATCAGCGCATCACCCATTATTACTTCTCTCTTCTCATATCCAGGCCTCTTCTTCTGTTCACCTTAGCCACAACTACATATATGTCTCTGGAATGCAGGTGGCTGCTACTTTCTTTTGGCTTTCATATCAAGTTATTCCAACACAAAGTCACAGCACGATAAATATTTTTATTTGTGAAATTCCCCACTGCGCAATCAACTAACTTTTCCTTCATTTTCTCCCACTTTGAAGCGGCAGAATATGGTCAGTTATAATAATCACTTTGGACTACAAATTTTTTTTTTTGGAAGAGTGTGGGAGAGGGAGATGTGAATTAATTTTCTTGCTTTTTTAATTTTTATTCAAAATTTTCATGCAAATTAAATAATGAAAAAAATGATAATTTGTAATAATCTTTAGAAGTATAGTGTGAGTTGGTTGTGCATTTTTAAAAAAAAATGGTAAACTACATATGATTTTGGTTTGGAATTTTGATTGAACTTACTTTAGAAGCAGTGATTGGATGGTTGTGGTGAGTATCGGTGCTGTGTTTCCTCTCCAAGCAAAGTGATGAATTTAGTTTGAGGAACGTGTTACACGGACACAGACTTTTCTCTTTCTTTGCCCCTCCTGTGAGTTTGGAGAACTGTTCCTTAGCTGCGCTGGTGGTATTTGTGGCTTCTGTGGAAGGAAAAGAACAAAGGAAGGGTAATTCCGAAAATAAAATGAAAAAATTGCGCTCATTAATTTTAACTGCCAAATGAACTTCTAACATTCTTAAGGTTTAAATCTATTTTTTCCTCACATATAATGTTAGTCTCTGTAAAAATTTAATTACATTATTTAATTTTTATCCACTCATCATCTGTTTTTTCAATTTCTAATAACTTATTGGCGTAAAATACCAACAGCAATGTTTAATTATAAACTTTAACATTATTTTCTCAGTAAAATTATTTTGAAGTTTTTCTAAGAATAACATGATGTATTATTGTAACATCCCAAAAATATAGTCTAACACTATATAATAGAATAATCACATTTAATAATATTACAGCTTAGTCTTACATTAGTAGAGAAGTATGCTTGTGGCCAAACAGCCTTATAGAAAGAACTAAAAACTTAAACTGTATAAGATAAGCAATTCTGACCGAAAGTTTACAAAAGCCCATACCGGACGGTCATACAAAAGAACAGGGAAAAGGTGATCGAACGATCACCTTACTATCGAACTATACTATTGACCGAACGGTTCTACTGTTCGGTCTTAACTTTTACCTCAACTAAGTTTTCTTCTTCCAGCGCTTCTTCCAACAACTCGTCTCCTTCTACTCACATCCACATGGATGATCATTGCAACAAAAAGACAATCGAACGTACAAAACAGACAAGACAGAAAGATATAGGGGTAAGCTTATGTAATTCAATTCATGTATATACATATATTTCACACAATCAACCAAACAAGATAATTCATCACTCGCTCATGCAAAGCCTAATGCTAGACTGACTGTCCGGACTGTATGAATTCTGTGTAGCTACGACGTTCGTGCACCCGAGTGATGTAGTAACTAGGATACCCTCAACAGCTGCCACCCGAGGTTAGTCCTATCTGTCCAAATTAACCATAAGGACTAAGACCTCATAACATTCCCAAACATGACTTAAACTACTCTAAGTGAGAAAGAATAATCACGGAACATCAGGATGAACCGCCAGCTTAGCATGCCCACATTCATACTTTACCAAATTTCAATATCCATTCATTAGATATTCCTCCCCCGAATACTCGTTCATAATCATGCTCATTTCATATACATCATATTCTATCATCTTCCATTTTCAAACTTCAATCTTAACTAAGATCACTTAAGATACCAAATACCGAATGTACAACTTTAACCCTTAACGAGACCGAACACTTGGATTGAACCCGAGAGGTTTCCCAGTTCTAGAACAGATCAAAACCGAGAGAGAATTACCATCGGGATTGGGAAGAGACCGAGTTCAATAATATTTCTCAAGATTAAAAGGATCAGATGTTATTTACAAAGTGAGTCAATTCAATGAACTGACCCATGAGCATTTATACTAAACACCTTAAAGCCTAGACCGAGTATTAAGACTCTAGGCCGACACTGATGGAGACAAACACTACAAGACCTTCAAATAATAGTACTTAAAAGAATCATATGAAGAAACCGAACGCTTATAAATACTTAGATTATTTATAAATTTATCAACAAGAAAATCGAATGTCAGTCAAAGACCGAGCACGGTAGAGAATGAACACTATTGAGTTTGGACGAACGCTATTTTCATCAAAGTAGATTATAGCAAAGAGAATGAGCGCTTGGTGTAAGACCCAACACTAAATAGTACGAGCGCTTGGTGAAAGACCTAGCTCTAAATCGTACAAGCGCTTGGTGAAAGACCTAGCTCTAAATCGTACGAGCGCTTGGTGAAAGACCTAGCATTAAATAATACGAGCGCTTGGTTAAAGACCTAGCATTAAATAATACGAGCGCTTGGTGAATGACCTAGCATAAAATAGTACGAGCGCTTGGAGAATATAAGATATCATTTGACTAATGTTCAAGAACAAACAGACATAATACTACACAAATATACTTAAATTTATATTAAAATACCAAGGAAAGGATATCCTTGGTGGAACGCCTGTACAAAAATTGTACTAGACGAAGACGCTCGTCCTCAACATAAATTCCTTCCAAATGAAAGAATCCAGTTCTAAACGAGTCCCCAAGAAAAAACCGAATGGTCAAAGACCATTCAGTAACGAACATACATTATCATAGGGAATTTCATACTTAGAATTATTCATCTCAATTCATTTCTCAACATTTATCTTCATAATCTCATACATCCATATCATGGTAAATTTCCATACTTCATACAATCAGAACATAGCAGCAATCATCTTTCATATTAATTCAACAACTCAACGAACGTACATGCAATACAAACAACATACACATTAAATCATATAAGCTTCCCTTACCTCTTATGTGACCGAACGTTCACGGTAGGATTACTGATTCACCTCTACGAATCCTTCTATCCTCAATGCTCAACAATTCTCCAAAACTAAACCAAGTAAAAATCAAAACACTATCAAAACTACAAATTTTAGAAGAGTAAACAACACATGAAACCAGAACTTGGTTTGCATGTCCAGAAAACCGCATGGTTGAGTAAAGAGAAGAACTTACCAGCTCAGCTTCACAAACCGATCGGTTAATATTCATACTATTTCATTCATATCACATTTTAAATATCATACCTCATTAACAACATATTTCCTCATCCATAACACCTTTAAATAACTTCAAACCGAACATTAAAACAACATCACCATGGAGCATAACTAACTTGAAAAATATTAACACTTATTATGAACAAAACCTCCTGACGGTAGAACACCTCCTATCTGCGAACCTGACCATATGGGATATGGTTTCCTTATGGTGAACCTAACTGAACGGGTTATTGTTTCCCTATGGTGAACATGACCGAACGATCATGTAAAGAGTGAAACTCAAGCATGAGTCGAACACTATTAGCTTGATCTGAGTACTATTGAATTAGATCAAACACTTATTGATTAATGTCGACCATTAGTAGACCATACCGAACACTATTATCTTAGAATAATCACTATAGGCTTAGGCCGAACACTTAGGACTTAGGCCGAACGTTATAACCAGGCTAAACACTTTAGTTCAACCAAATACTTATTGTGAGACAAAACATTTTCTCATTATTCAAAGACTATAACCGAACTGTATTTACTAGACCGAATCCAAAGAATTAACTGAACATTATAGAACATCTATAATTGGACATAATCAAATACTAAAGCTTATAATGAAAATCTAAGAGCTTAAACCGAATACTACGAGCTTAGACCGAACACTCTTAGTTTCAATTTCAATTACATAATTTTGGTAATATGACGAGACCGAGTGCTTAGTGCATCACCGAGCACTACTGAAACCGAGTGCTGGAATCTGACCGAGCACTACCAAGACAGTTCAAGACCGAGCGATCAATAATAGTTATAGCTTATGACAGACTCAACGTTGTTTATAAACAAAGTTATGTCTAGACCGAGTGCTACAATTCATTGAAAATCAATACTAAACCGAACGGTCATTAACTGAGAATCCACAATAGCATAACTCAGTTAAGACCAAGCACCAGATAAAAGCCGAACGGTCAATTAAAGACCTTCAGCAACTACATAATTCTGTAGAATAGCTACAGAATTAAGATCGACACCAAACCCTACCAATTTCACTTGACCACTATTCCATAATCATACAGATACACAATCATCATAAACACAACATCAATTATTCCACACCAACAGTACCGAACACCCAATTCATCCAATTTTACATTCATACACATGGATATTTATCAAACAACCTCTTCATACATCAAAATCAAGTAATTAAATTATCTAGCTTCCCTTACTTCTTAACCGGACCGAACAGCTTTACCACTTTAGAAATTTGCTCCTAACACCAGAATTCTCAAGAACCTACAGTTTACTGATTTTCGATAACGGACCAACCCAAAATACCATAAAAGTGATCAGAAATTAGAAGAAGAAGCCGATGAACACATGCAACCAGAAATGTGACTTGCATGTGTCAAACTGTTTCAGAGTCCTACAAGAACCCAGAGATTGAGACTTACCCGTTCTAAACGAGACGTTGATTGGTGAAAATTGAAGTTCTTGATACCAGGGGTGATTGAGTGTGGTCAGATGATTGAAAAGATGAAATGAGTTGAAGATTTTCTAGAAAGAAGAAGGAGAAAAGAAGAGGTTTGAGTTTTTTTAGAGAGATGCAAATTCTAAGAAGATGGGATGAGTTGTGCTTTAAGAAAATTCTATAAAATGCTCAAACTCTTTTAGTTGAGACATTTGTCCCTCTCTTCCAGGTGTCATTTTCAAGGTTTTACATAAGAACTAAAACACCACTTTTAATTTAAAATCTTAAAATAAGTT